CCTGAATGGCTGCGTTTGTTCCAAAATTTACAGCTTTCTGACTACATTCACCAAGTCCAGTGTATTCTGAACAAGCATCATTCTTCGGGGACTGTAGTACTACCCAACCTTGAAATTCTAGAACAGGTTCTTCTACCTATTCGCTGTCATGGCGGCGAGGTTCCTACATTGATGCAACTTATGAGCAAAGTCGGACCTTCTGTCAAGACTATGCAGCCACCGTGTTTATTACGAATTCAGATGGTCAACTCATCGGAAACCGATCGAGAAGATCGAAAGAGACTGAACGAGGGATATGCAGCCGTATCAAAGCGCAATTTTACTCAACCTGAGCATGCAGAACTTCAAGTCATTATTGACAATTTTTTAAAGTCCGATTCTGCTGTTCGACAGCAGTATGGAAGAGATTTACAAGAGAGTCTCCACGCACTAAGCGACTTGCGCATTGTGCCTCGAGAATACTCACTTGTTGATCAAAATCGCTTGCTTGCAGAGATCAAGAACACACAGTCTTCTATCAACAGCTGTTTCTCACATCTATGGAATGCATTAAGCATAAATGATTCTCGTGCTCTATGGCTGCAGCTTGGTGGACTTTGGCCCCGTGTGACTCCTATCACGCTTCTAGAATACCTACGTTCTGGCATATCCAAAGCAATTTTTGGAAGTAGGATGAGAGATTGTATAGTTAATTTTGGCTTGTTAATTACTCATTTGCAGCAACTTACCAGAATCGAGAGTGCTTTGCAGAAGGGAAACCATCAATTGGTAATTGACGAGCAAACAAATGAGCCCCATCAGAACTGGTCACCACATGAAGAAAGCGATCTTCTACTTCTCGAAATTGATGCCAATATTCTCATTCGGGCTGGTCAAATAGACGTCATGGAGGCTACTGTGTCTCCTCAGTCGTCCTCAAACAGTGTTCTTCAGATGGTTATGGGGGCGGGTAAAACTAGTGTTATACTCCCGATGAGCGCTGTTACGATAGCAAACAAAAGGAACATCTGTCGTATTATCGTCCCTAAACCACTTTTGTTTCAAACCGCGCAGCTTCTTCAGGAACGAGTTGGAGGTCTGATTGGCCGTGAAATACTACACCTTCCATGGTCCCGTAAGACGTCAACACACTTGGTTAAACAATATGGCGAATTGCACCAAAGCATTCAAAAATCGTCAGGAATCATCATAGCTCTTCCAGAACATATGCTGTCATTTCGGTTGTCAGGGCTGCAGAGATTGTCAGATGGGCATGACGCTTCGTCAATGATCAGTGTGCAGTCGTGGTTTGACCGAAAGGCAAGAGATATCATTGATGAAGTCGACTACATACTTGCTATTCGCACACAGTTAATTTATCCAAGTGGGACTCAGAGAACGGTTGATGGCCATCCCCATCGATGGGAGACGATTGAGAAAGTACTCAAGATGGTTGATTCTCACCTCTGGACTCTAGAGAAACGCTTTCCAAGAAGCATCGAGGTTGTTCGACGAGCTCAAGGAGGCTTCCCTGTCATATACTTCCTCAGAAGTGATGTTGAAGGGGCTTTGGTAGCTTTGCTTGCTGAGGATATCTATCAAGGCCATGGTTCACTCCTCCCAGAGGACTGCTGCAGAGCTGATCGTAAAGTCATTAAATGCTTCATTTCTGAACCCAAGATTACAGCAGACATTGCTCTGAAGATTAATCAGTTGTATTTGGATAGGCCTATCACCCGACAGATCATAATGTTGCTAAGAGGCCTGCTGGTGAATCGGATACTTGTGATGACATTACGGAGACGCGCAAATGTACAGTACGGTCTACATCCAAATCGGCCTCCACTGGCTGTACCATTTTATGCGAAAGGAATGCCTTCTGAGCAAGCGGAGTTTGGCCATCCTGATAGTGCGCTCCTTTTCACTATTCTAGCTTTCTACTTTGTAGGAGTGACAGAAAAGCAACTTCAAGAGTGTCTCGAGTATGTCGGAAAGTCTGAAGACCCCGCCCAAGTCTATGACTCCTTCTCTCATTGCGCAAACCTTCCAGAGTCTTTGTCAGACTGGGCTGCTGTGAACATTGATGATGAGGGCCAATTGCACGATATATGGAACCACCTCCGCTATCAAATTCCGGTCATTAATTACTTCTTGAACCATCATGTCTTTCCCAGACATGCCAAAACTTTTGAACTGAAATTACAGACATCAGGTTGGGATCTCCCACAGTTCTCAGCACTTCCAATCAAGTCGCAGTCATCCAACGCTTCTAGCAGTCTCACACGGGCCCTGACAACTGGGTTCAGTGGCACTCAGGATTATAAGAGACTTCTTCCTCTAACAATTAAACAAAACGATCTACCAGTACTTTCTCACACTAACGCAGAGGTCCTTTCCTATTTCCTACAGCAAAGGAATAGAGAATATGTCCTTGCTGCTGATCATCGTGGAAAGCGAATCTCTGAAGCAGACCTCCTCAGATTAATCACTAGAATGAGGTTGAGAGTTTTCATAGATGCAGGGGCAGCAATCCTAGAAATGAACAATACTGAACTCGCCAAAGCTTGGTTGGAAATCTATTCCGATGCACCTGCAGTCATCTATTTTCGAGATCAAACATGTATGGTGAGATACAGGCGAGGACATGAGATTCCTTTACTCGTTTCTCCCTACGCCGACGATCTATCAGATGCACTAGTCTACATAGATGAAGCGCATACAAGAGGAACTGACCTCAAAATTCCTCCATATTCGCGGGGGGCTTTAACGCTTGGGATCAATTTGACCAAAGACGCTGCAGTACAGGCAGCAATGCGCCTACGAGGGCTAGGCAGTTCTCAGTCGATTGTATTCATTAGTCCGCCCGAAGTCCACCATTCCTTGTTAGATCTACGTGGTAAAGACCCCGGGGATCGTATCGACTCACACGATGTTCTTCATTGGCTATTGGAACAGACTTGTAATGGTGTTGAGCAGCTACAACCCTTGTACTTCTCCCAAGGTGCAGACTTTTGCCGCCGTGCCCAAGCTATGGTGGACAACAATAGCTTTCTCATAGACTCTAGTCATCGGGAGAAATATCTTTCTATTCTGAGGCAATATGAGTCCCAGACGTTAGAACAACTCTACGGGCCTAAACATAAGGCCAAAGCCGTGATCTCCCCTGGGTCATTAACACCACAAATCGCAGCGTTTATGAAGGAACTCAATAATCAAAGAAAGTCCTTTCAAGACACTGGGATTGCCGTTCACTCGAGCGCTTTAATAGAAGTCGAGCTTGAGCGCGAGGTTGCACATGAAGTTGAGAACGTTCGTGAAGTGCAGAAGCCGATGCATTACCCACCACTGACCTTTTCCGGATTACATCGTGACATTCTCACTTTCTTCAAGACGGGTAGACTTGTTGCAGATTCTGTTGCTTACGAAAATGCCTTCACAGCTCTTCGAAAAACCTGTCTTGGCCGCAAATATGGTGTAAGGCACGAGGGCACTACTGGCAAGCTATATGTGTCTACAGAATTCATGAGAACGGTTAAATTTCCAACTGATCGGCATGCCGATAATTTCCAAGTATATCCTCCTTTAATCTCAAGTATGATTAAATGCTAATGAGTCTTACAGAGACCTGTCAATTGGATTATGTGGAGTCCAATTAACGAAATCGCAATGATCCTTGTACCAGAAGAGGTTGAGCAACTTCTCCCACGAGTTCCACGAAATGTTAGCTCAGCTGCAACCTACATTCTCACGTACGCTGCACCGACCACGCGGAAAATGTTGCATTTCAACAATTTAAAATACTGGAGTACGCCTCCTCTACCTGCAGATTGGCAGCCTCCATTGTGGTTGAAAGTTGAGTTGGGTGTTTTTGCTGGACGCACCTACTTTGAGTACGATGAGTACAGCTACCTTTGTGCATTTCTAGGTTTGAAGGAGAAGCTGGGCGCCTTGGAAGAATATGAGAACGCTGTTGCCATTAATGAGGATGCTACAGAAGATTCTGGCGCAGCCGAGAAAAAGGGTGAAGAATGCCAAGATGATACTCAAACAAAGCCTGTTGTTTTCGTCCGGAAGCCACTGACATTTCTGCACGAATGGCTCGCTATCAAGCGCAAGAATCTGGATTTTCAAAATACGCCTGTAGGGTATCTATGCATGGGGAAATCGCTGACAATGGATCATTCTTTCTTCGCGAAACCTGAACCAAGTGCACCAAAGGACACAGCTCAGGTCCGAGGAACCTCGTCGTGGAAGAAGTCGAAGGATGAGGATGAGGTTGAGGAGGATTTTTATGACGAGAATGATGTGTATGATGTAGAGTTTGAGAAGGATAGCTTTGACGATGAACAGTTGTTGGCTGATCTTGCTAAGGCCGAGGAGAAATCGAATGGAGAATATGACGCAGCTGGCTTCGGCACTGAAGCTTCTACTAAATAGCATGATGCATTGCTTCATACTTAGCTTAGTTTGCTTATGATACCCGAGTAACTTTCAGAATAATGGTTTTGTAGGGTAATTACCATGTTGCTATTCTCAAATGTGTAGACTGCTCACTGTGATTCAAAATTTATCAAGGCTGCTTATAGAAAATACTTTTCATCTCAATTGAAATTTATGAGAATCGTTCAAAAATGAGATTAGGCCAAGTAGAAGTAAACTTGCAAAGTTCCACATGGTATGTATGTCACGTGTTTTCTTTTCTAAGTTGAGATCGAATCCATTATCTAGATCTACTAGATTTTCTAAGACATAGCACCTCTCAACATGGGAGCACACTACTGACGATCCACAATGAGCCATAAAGAAGCACAAAAATTGCTTAGAGTTCTCTAGATCGCATTTATGACATTACTTAAGTTGGGGGGGTTGGAAGGTTTGGATGGGGTGTGGTCTCATGCGTAGCAAGAAGTGCCAATCAAAATTAAGCGATATTCGGCGCAAAATGAAAATCGCCAAAAAAAGTTTGAGAATATGATGGAATTAAACCACCTTCATTTTCAAGCCCGCAATCAGCTTCATGCTGGCGGCACTGGGAATCGAACCCAGATTGAAACGGGTTGATGTGAGAAATCACAGAGAGAACCACAACGTCACGTGCTACCATTACACCATGCCACCTTCGTGTTTGCTTATTTGCAACCACTTAATGTGCTTGTTTTTGAATCAAAGTTGCTTATTTAGTTATATGGTTCAGTTGATGAAAGGGAGCCGGGTGATGACAAAGTGGGGAGGCTGCATGGTGGCAAACTATTAATAGCTTTCCGGTAAATATCCCCGACATCACTTTACTCTCTAAATTCACTCTTGTGCTCTATCTTTTCCACTTTCAGGCTTCCTACAATAATTCATAGGATAACCTGATATACGCCACAACAACTCGATTCCAACCTCTACATATCATTTCATGAACTTAAGGAGCATCAAGGAACACCTTTAGAATTACTTCTCTATTGCAATTCCCGTCACTCTCTTCAAGTCCCTTCAGCTCAGGTATTCTACCACATGCAGAAATAATCATGGTAAATTCGCGAAACTTTGGCTCTGTCAGATTTCAAGTGCCATGATAGATTCTGGCTATCACCATGCCATCACAAATTATCTGGCACAGTGAACAACAGCCACAAATCGTCTACTAATTCGCCTGGGTTTGCCAACTACTTTAACTTCTCCTGTTCTCCCACACAAACTGGGGCACTTTTCATACCGTTATTGATTTCCTTTCACTGATAAGACTGACGGGCGTTGAAATAATGAATGCACTTTCCCGGATTTTCATCTGGCATGCATCATGGATACGAAGGAGTCCATGAAGCGAGCCTCGTCGTTCAAAGCTGGAAGTCCTCCACTGCAGTATGAACATTAAACTTTCGTGCACTAATTACGTCCAGGGAATCATTCTGCGTTTTTATGCGCATGTCATTATTATTCTATTTGATAATTTTTATTACGATTTGATTAGTCGTTTTATTGTAGTCCACGCCTACCTGATGAGTAGCATCTAAGTTGGTCTGAAATTTCCCGCCCTGCGCAATTGCTACTGCGGTGCAATTTTCCGGCTAGTTTGGCATAGTATGGATTAATTCGCATGCCTGCAGGCTGCAATTAAGAAGCGACACTTTGGAGAAAGGCAATTTATTTTGTATTCAGGTGGTTCTAAAGTTTTGAAGAATTTTACCTACGTACCTTACACCATCCAACTAGAGTTACAAAGAAGATCCTGTTATTGTCATGCAAGCTGAGTGGTCGGAGGACTTACTATTGTGGGTTGTTCTAGAGGATTGTTGTTGATAGGTGGTCATATTACATGTGGCAGGAACATCAGAACCGACTTGAGAAGCAGGCAGCCGCGACTTCCTCAAAAGGAGCAACGTCCTTAGTGAAGCCTTGTCGCCATCTGGGGAACCCTGAACCCCTCTCAACCTCAAGTCTTTTGACTACAAGCATTCTATATTTCCACATACTTTCCTAAAATTTCATGCTTTCCCAATCATCAATACACATCCAATGAATTGGACCGGAGGGCGCCTTCAGAGGCATTCAGGGTCTGCTGGGGCCTTAAAAAACAAGCAGCAACAGCATTTTGCGAGATTCAAGGCAAACTTGCTCAACGAAAGAAAAAGTTCGCCAACAAAAAGGTCTTTGCTTGGTCGAGGCCAGGACTCCGCCGCCGAGAATCGTTTACAAACACCAACTTTAAACTCTACATCTCGACGGCAGCGCAGCTACAATGACACCCGACGGAACCCTGGGCACCGCCAGGTCGACCTTGACCTGCAAGCTAGCCGTTTAGAGAATGCTCATCGACGTAGCGAATCCCAGAGATGCGATTCTACGGCTTTGGCAAAGTACGAACGTATTCCTGACCTCTACAGCGTTACACCTCCGCCACGAAGCGCTAAGAGAGAACGTCTTGTATCGATATCTGACGATGATGGTGTTCAATCTGAAAATGAGGAGGCGTTGTCGCGGAAAAGAAGAAAGATTTTGCGGAAGGGCGACTGGGTGAGTGTGGGTTTTCAGCAGCCGCCGCGCCTGACCTTTACATCACCGCGGAGAGCAGATAAGGTTGGAAGGAGGAGATATATCACAGACCAAGAGCGAGCGCAATACGTGGGAAAGATACAAGCCAAAACTGCATCACCTTTCGTCACAAGGCACATTGCTGCGAACGGCAAAAATTATGACACACTACGACTAGAAAAGGCAGACGTGAGGATATCGATTGGTGGAAAAGTAGTACCACCAGGTGCTAGTTCAAGCTCGACGCACAGTAAAAGCCTAAGTCTCTCCTTATCAAGACCGATATCAAATAGTGTTCCATCGCAGTCATCGGATGTGATGCTACTCGATAATGAAGGACCATTCCCGGCTCTAGTCGCCCACAGTGGCTTGCACAATCAAAGGAGATTTGGAAGCACTAGAAATATTGACAATATCCTAAATGCAAACTTTTGGGAGCAGAGCAACCCGGAAATCCGACGTGTACTGAGCAATAAAAATTCCCAGGCAACATGTACGGAAGCCTATGCTACTCCAAATCAGCAGCCTTTTCCGGGAGAGATAGCGAGCTATCAAATTGTAGAAAATGGACAACTTTCCTCCCAATCAAATGTTGACACAAGGAACACACTACATCAGCCCATATTCTCTTCATCATCAGCATCAATACTCCACCCAAAGCCACAAAGCTCAAAGATCTCTCCGTTACTTCGAACGAATAATTCTGAAATTGCTGATAGTACTGTCGCACAAGTTGGAGTTACTAAGCCCGTTGTTCCTAGCTCTCAAGCTATGGATAATGAAATTTGGAAGACATGGATGAAAGCGATATACTCGGAAAATAGCCTGGGAAGTCCTATTAATATAAATCAACATCCGGATGATGAGGCTTTCCCAATCAGCCCAGGCATCAGTGCAGCCCTGGGTGTGGGTGCCCCAGCTGCTGACAAAGGTGCTCCTGCTTTACCTAATGACAATTCCCCTATCGATAGTTCAGGACTATCAAGAGACTATGAGGAGGTAAACGTAAGGATACCAACATATTTAAAGGTATCAGCCAGTGCGGACACTTCTATCGAGGCGGAGGCTTCAACTAGTGCTAGACAGCCTGAAGCGAGCATGTTAGAATTTATTGAGCAAAAAAGTAGACTATCAGCTTCTCGGTTCCTATCATTATCCCCTCTAGGTGTCAGTAACTTCAGGCACTCTAGTGGCGTCCCAGATGAGAATGTCAAGAAAAACAAGCTGGTGACTGAATCAAGCCAAAGTAGTTCACAATCCGAAGATTTTACAGCGAAAGTCCCCACAGCAGAGTTGAAAGCAACTATCAGCGCATCTGTCCAACAAAAGAGCGTCGAAAGTGAAGACCCTGACGAGATATGGAGAAAGTTTGTGTTTGGTAGTGAAGGTGAAGAGGTGGATGTCTTACAGAATACCAGGCCCTTGCTTTGTGGGGTTTCCAATATACGAGGGCTATCAGGACATTTACCAGTCACTCGGCCAATGTGGGACGCTCTGCCAGCAAACCACACTCTCCAACGATACAAGGACCCTTCGGAATTTCCCACAACCGCACAACACTCCAATATACCTTTCTCAACCAGACTAAGCATGCCGTTTAGTTTTGGGAACGCAAATAATGTCTAATTACATCAAGCAAGATCTATTAGCTGTCGAAGCCTTAACTTGCAATTCTATTAACGATAAGATGAAAATCTACACACCAGAAGAATTTGGTTATACTTGGGCTTCCAAGTCTGGAATGGCTACTGTTGGAATGGCAGTTTTCCAAGCTTCAAGTTCACCTCGAACCATCGACACACCTTTGCATAAACCACGGAAGAGGGTGCTGCTCACCAAATCAAAACCATTGGCTGAGAGTGCTTTCAGATCTAATTCTTATTCGGATAAAGATAACCTTTTGCATATGGACAAAAATTTGCTGGAAAATTCCGAAATATTGAGATGAGGAAAGTGTACTGAGGAGGAATCACTCAGTTTAGAAGCATCTGATGGGAGGAATCTATTAAAACCGATTGAGGCTTGGATTTTCCGAGATTATCATGTATTACTTGGTCGGTCTTTTATGTTATATCCTAGCGTGTCTATTGATGCTGTTACATATCTATGTAAAGGTCTAGGAGCAGGTTCATACGACAATTGGTCGCTTCAGGAGAAGTGATCATTTTCGCTTATAAGGGAGACAAGGCCAAAATTTTCCAGATGAACTCGGGAGACTCATAGCCTCGGCATGCCTAATCTATCCAGAATGTTGAAATCTAGCTTCATCAGCTACCTTTCACTTTCCGCTGATATGATTAATACAATGAACTTTATAACTGGCCCCTTATATCATCACGTGCTACGGTAGCCGGCTAATAGAAATGTCCATGACGCAACCGAGGAACATCCCCCAGATTTCTTCAACAGCTGGAAAAAGTTGTTCAACACAACCATAGCATATCAATACCCAGCACAGCACAATGTCTTCAGCGAGGCTCGTTATACGCGCCGCAAGGCCTTCGATGGCCCTCACACGTCCAATTACTATGTCTTCCCGTCGGATGATTGGGTCTAGAAATTCGAAAACGCACCAAGGAGCAGAGGGGCATCGTAAGCTCCAAAACGAGACACCACTGAACCCACACATGACAAATACAGATTCCACAATTTCGAACGAGATACCACCTGCTGGAGCGCAGAAAATGCCACCCGAGTTCATCAATTCTGTCGATAAAGATTTTGTGCCGAATGACTCTGTCCCACAGAATGCCGAGCGCATGATAGGCGGCACACAGAAGGAGCCAGAAATGGGCGTCGGAGAGATGCAAGGAGGAAAATTTAAGATCGAGCCATTAAGAAGAACGGGCGAGGATGATAATACCATGAGGGCTAGGTTACTATGTTCGCATTCACCCTTTCGCAAATGTGCTTTGTGAAAAGACTAACATGTTTAATTGGGGAATGACTAGATCAAAGCCGTAAAAGAGGTACTTTGGAAAGCGATCTCTTAATGTCTACCTTCGCCGAAGCGCATCTTCGTGATATGACCAAGTCTCAAATGAACCAATTCGACCTCTTCCTAGACGAGAATGATTGGGATATATATTACTGGGCTA